TTCATTAATTCAGTTTTGAAACTACTAAATAAGCACATCACTATATATATACAGTATATACACACACCATATATACACCTATATATCAGCTTCAGTGAAATTTCTATTCTCTTGAGTTCCTTCTGTGTCCATATTTGACATTTGAAAAAAAAACCTGATTTTGAGAATCTGGAGATTATAGAAATAGATTTTAATAAGGTAGGTTTTGACATACATTTCCTGTTTCCTATCTACAAATATAACCAATTTCTACACTTGCATATACATATTAGGCCATGCTATTAATATATATATTACTGTTAAACCAGGGTGTGTTTAGGCACATTGATTAAATCTGTGGATCTAATATATAAAAAGTAAAAAGGGCTGTTGCTTGGTTCACATGGTTGAACTTTGTGTTTGTGTTCTTTCAGTGAGGTACAACTGATGCATCAGTCTGATGCAAAACAGTTTGTACAGTTTGGTAAATAAGGGGCAATGTGTGTTTCGGGTCACCTGATTTTCACAGTTTTACAATGATTGTAAATAAATTAATCAGACCATGTAGGTAGTATAATGAAATAAAATTAAAATGCTTCCAGAGCCAAATTGACATCAGTTGGATTAAAGTAAAATTGAATGTAATTGCTGTATTTTGCAGTCCTTTCCCTTAGATATTTTTGTTTTAATTTCTGCCATTGTTTCTGTGAAGAAGACTGTGAAATGCAGCTCATAACTCCTAGGTCATACTGTGAGCTGTAAGTAAGTTATTTTTAGTCTTATTAACTATGAAAGACTTGATGATTAAGAATTCAATGTAGTAGGAATGATGAAACAAATAAGAAACTAAGTATCATTAGTTTATATGAACGGCCACGCCTGCTGGAAAACGTTGCTTTGAGGTCCTTCCACATGGCCCAGATATGGCTTAGAGCTGTGATTGGATAGTGATTGCATTTCAGTGTGGCACAACTGCAGCACATGGGGAATTACATTCATGTCTGACGCAAAGTCTGCTTTAATTCTTAACAAGCAATCCCCTGATGACTGTTTTTCACTGAAGAAATCAAGTGACATAAAAGCAATAGTGGTTTTGCTTTTCAGTGTAGCACTTTGTCTTCATTTAACCATCAAAAAGCAGTAGTTTCTGTGTATTGTATTTCACTCCCAGACCCCATTTCAATTGCTTTTCTATATGATCAACATATGTCCATAATTTTGTAATCAATTTTGACAAAATCTTTTTGACAAAACAATCTTCATATTCTCTCTATATTAGTGCCCTTGCTGTCCCCACAGCTCTTTGCATTTTCACACCTGAGCCTTTCCTTAAAAAGCAACATGTTGCCAGTCCTGTCTTGTCACTCAGTGCTTTGAGCCCCTTAAACCATTAAAGGATCAGCCCACCTTTCCATTTCTGCTCTTCACTCAAAGACCTGAGCTCCTTCAGTTTATGCATCTGAGCTGAATACACTCGCTAAGAATTGAAAACTTTTGTCTATAAAATAATATATTATTTCAGATGTTTTGGACAGCTAGCTTAAAGTTTCAGCTGGCTCAGAGTTTCACTTTAGCTCACTACTAATCCTAATATGATTTAAAAAAAAAAAAAAAAACTATTTGTGCATTGTTGTCATTGCTGCCTGTTATTATAGGTTTGCTTTTAGTGGTTGAATGTTCTGGGTTATCATGGGTTATTAAAATGGGTTATCATTTTGTAATTACATATGATATAGCTTTTACTGTTCTTAGAATCATTGTTTGGTACATAGAAGTTTGCTGAAAACATTACCATCATGTTGCTGGTGTGCCACTAGTTCAACTAAAACGCTAGTTCTGACCTTGTTTGCAGTTGTCTTGTTTCTGTCGCCCTTCAACAATAATCTCTAGGACTGGAGTCAGGTCCATAATTGTCTTCAGCATCTCCATTATGTCTGGGTGCCCTCTGGCTCCTTCAATGAATTGTTCAAGTGTTAATTCACCTTTAGCGATAAAAAAATGCAAAAAGGAGCATTTAGTCCAGCAGACAAACTGAAAGCTGCTTCACTGTTCAGCTTATACTGTTCAGTATACAGTATATCATTGTACTATAAGTAGATTTCGCTAATGTCAACTGACATGGAAACAAAAGAGACAAAAGCAGAACATTCATGACTGATCATATGCTTAGTAAGGAATGAAACACTTGCAGGCATTCTGTTATAAGAAAATAATCAACAATGGTGTGGTGTGATGTGGCCCAGCCCGAAGCAGATTTACTGTTATCACACTGAATTTAATTATCATAACAGTGTCCTGAAGTGTTTCATTCCTCTTATACCACAACTGTTTGCAAACAAAAAAAACGACAGCTGTCTAGAAGATATTCCTGTGCCAGAAAACCTAAATTTGCAGCTGTACCTCTGACACTGGAGACTCCTTCAAAAAATGTTAAATAACCATCTCCTTACAGAAAACTTTACCTTACCAAGAATGATCCTTTTTTTGTTAAATAATTTTTTTTAATATAATAAAATATACAGTATCTGTGATTTGCCTTGCAGCTGGCATTACTGTCAGAAATGCTGTTATAGAAAAAAAAAGAATCACTTCCTGACCAATCAGAATCGAGAATTCAACAGTGTTGTGGTATAACTACAAATAATATCATCAAAAGAAGCTGTCCAACAAACAATTAGGCTTGGATTTAGATGAGTCCTTGAGTTGTGTGCCTTATTTTTAAAATCATCGTAACTTGATAAATGTAATGTATTTTATAAACTCAGTTAATAAAATGTTTAATTAATTACAAGCCATTTGATGTAAAATGTAGTGATGCTACCGCCCCACTACTGGGAAAAGAAAGTTAATTAAATCAGCTATGTAATAGACTCACTAGTGATGCTACTGTCCCACTGTGTGCATAGACATTTAAGCTAACTTATATTTAAGCTGCTGTACAAGTTCAACTTTAAATATAGACAGTTTACAAATAAAAATTTGATCCTTCAGAATTTCACATCAACTTTTGATCGACTACATCAAATACAGAGGATATTAAACTCTATATTAAAGTCTTTTTGCTTACCTTCTCCATTGACATCAATTTTTTCGAATATAAGTGCTACTATGTCTTCTGGTACAATGCTGTGATTTTGCGTGATGTCCTGTATGGCCTGCAATGAAAAAAAAAAGTAGATAAAGTGGCTTGCTATCATCTGGTTGAAATGATTTGACAGATGGGTTATTGGACCTTTCTCTCTCTATTCACCTGCACATGAATCTATGACCTCTTGGCCCTGGTGGCTTTTGGAATCAGACCTGTCATGTTTAAGTAGTTTCAAAATAGGAACCTGTTTTGATACCAGGTATCGGTATCAATAGACCACTACTGGCCTGAATCACTGGACTGCTATTGGCTCTAACATTTTTACATCGATAAGAAATATTTCTTGGTTTCCAATCCATGAACATATTTTATACAGTTAACATTATGGATGAGAAAAAAATCGATTCTTAGATGCATCTTGATTCTTTCTTTGGTTCCACTGAAATCAAATGTGTTTCAGAGCTTTAGTGTTAGATATACTGTACCAATATGACACCACATCTAAAAAAAAAAAAGTTTTCGATGATTCATCTTGTACTAGTCTTGTGTGTGTCCAATTAAATGCTCTCTAGATTGTATATGTTCCGCCCTTGATTCTGCATTGAAGAATAGATATTCATAAACAAACAAAAAAATTAAACAGTTCAAATATGGGACTCAACAGAAAAGCGATCAGTGATCGCGAGGTCGAATCCCGAAGATACCACAGCCATCTGTGGCCATGAGCCCAAATGAGCAAAACTGGCCGTGCTGTCAGGGAGGGAATCTTGGGTGTCTGTGAGCTCATGCATGCAGAATTGGATGGATAGTGCTTTCCTCCAAGTGTGACATTGCATGCGCAAAGTCGAAAAGATGCGGTAGGCTGGCTTCATGTGCCTCAGAGGAAGCACAAGATAGTCTTCACCCTCCCTGGTAGGTAGCTGTCATATGAAAGGGGAGAGCTGTCTGATGGGTGTGAATTGGCCATGAGTAATTTAGGGACCAAGATTAAATTAGGGAGAAAATCAGGAAAAAAAGAGTTAAAACACAATGTGAAGTAAAACTAAACCAATTGGGTAGTGAAATGGAAAATTGTAGGCTAGCACGTGCTCTATGTGTACAAGCTAGCTAGCAGATTAAATTGAAGTAGATAAGAGACATGCTGTGTGCAAGCTCTGTCATACGAAGAGCAAGTATTGTGGGAATACAACAAATATGCAAAATCACATTACACAATCCCATCTGGAATCGGAGGGAAAATGATTTTCTGCTGTTCTTGTTAAACAAATCTAAAGCTTCCACATAATGGCAAAGCTTCCACATAATACAGAAAGGGCAAAATAAATAACTAGGTCAATTGCATGTTTCATCGCAAAAGATTTGTGCCCCTATGCAGCTGTTGAAAACCCAGGCTTTCACTTAATGTTGCATACACTGAGGTTCAGCATTTTACTTTATGCAATCAAAGTAAAAAAAAATGGTCACACACTGTATATATATATATAAAAAAAGCTATCGTATACATCGTACACACATCGAGAATTGTTTTATAATTGCATCATTCATTCATTGCATCAAATTCTCTAAAAGCCTCTGATGTTTTGGCTAATGTGAGGATGTTAGTAGCTTTGATACTGCTATTAGGAATCAGAGAATGGAGATTGCTGCATCACTTGAAATAGCCCACATCAGCTCTGTTACTTCTTTTTATGGTGAAAAGTGTGAAGTTGTTTGAGGTTGTACCAAAGACGCATTGGTGTTAACTCTTGAATGGGATTAAGTCACACATGCACAGATTAAGTGCTGTAATCTAACGTCCAAGACGACGTAAATGTGAGACACAGCTGAGTGCAGTCTGAACTCAAAAATCAGATCGTTGAGCAACTTTTATAGCTGGTCCTGGATTGGATACATATCCTTTACACAACCATGCAGTTCTAATGAAAATGCAAATGCAGTGGTGGCTCAATGGTTAAGGCTCTGGGTTGCTCATCAGAAGGTCGGGGGTTCAAGCCCCTGCACTGTCAAGCTGCCACTGTTGGGGCCTTGAGCAAGGCCCTTAACCCTCTCTGCTCCAGGGGCACTGTATCATGGCTGACACTGAGCTCTGATACCAGCTTCCTAACAAAGAGGGATATGTGAAGAAAAGAATTTCACTGTGCTGTAATGTATAATGACAAATAATAAAGGCTTCTTCTCAGTGGCTGCTGCTTCTTTTAAACTCCTCACCCTGATCTTAGACTGCTAACGATCTTAGCCGACCTCTAGAGCAAATAATCCCTGCAAGGCTCATGCTGCTAGTTCTTAAATATAAGTTTGTTGTTGTTCTTTTCTTCTTCTTCTTCTTCTTATGCATAAAGTATAATTAGTGGTCATATCAGTGTCATGATACACACATCTCATGTATGTTGTATATTTTAAATACAGATACTTTAACTACAATTAAATATATGCAATTTAAAATATAATTATTTCCATATGCATATACACATATGTAAAGCCTGATTGTATCCTCAGCATACCGTGAATATTGTCTCCAGTTCTTGTTTGTCAATTTTTCCATTGCCATCCTGGTCAAACAGTTTAAAGTACCACTTTAACTTCTGGCTGATTTCACCTTTAAGCATCAGACTGATTGCAGCGATGTATTCCACAAAGTCTATGTATCCATCCTGAACAGAAAAACATCATGTCAGCTTTAATAAGTAATAACTTTGTATGTTTGATTCAGCTCTATGATGCAGGTATTAAGAGCATCCACAAAGATGCACACTATTAATGTGATCATTATCAGACTTCAGCAGATTATTCAAGTGATCACACAAAGGATAGTGATTAGAAAATAGAAATTAAAAACAAAACAACAACTGGATTTTAATTAGTAATCAGTTCACCTAACACAGGCATACTTTTAATATGATCTCTTTCTGCATCCAAGTATGTGCTTTAACAAGTGAAATATAGACAGTATTATGTGCAATTTTGCATAAAACAAATAAATATTTACTAATAAGGCAACCCCCTGTGTTAAAATTAAAACAGATTTAACATTTAACAACACATTCTTATTAGGTATGATGCAAAGCGACTGCAGAGGTATGTATCTTATGTATATAGAAATAATTTCTTTTTTATAATTATTGACTGATTCATGTAGAGTCAGTGTAGAGTTTTTTCATTATCAGATTATTGTGTGCATCTTATGTTCAAAATCAGATTTTTTTGCAGTTATCAGTAAATTTCGTGCACATGTTCATTGTCTAATCAAATTAACTGACGACACTGAATTTGAATTACAAAATTATTTTGGTTTATCATGTTACAATTTGAACTTAAGTCCTGTTTGGACTGGGTTGTTTTAAAGAGGTAATGTAATTATTACTGGAGTGTCTCTGGGATTTTCTCTGGGATTTTCATGGAATCTGCCATGTCAGAATTTTTCAGACAGCACAGACATGCTGGAAAGACTATTCCGTATTTTTCCCTTTTTTTTTTAAGTAAACATACCCCTGTATGTATACTCCTGGCTGGACCTTATGAGACATAGCCAGTGTTTTATCGCTGAGAGCAAAAATTCAACCAAGCTCTACTTTAGACATGATGATACATTAGAGACTTCTCATATTCTGTCCTCACCCCATCCATGTCAAAGGTGTAGAAGACCTGGTCCACATAACTGTTAGCATCCTCAGGCAACCCCTGCAGCCCGAGGATGGACTTCAGCTCAAAGAGCATGATCAGGCCTGATGGAGACTCCCTCATGAACTTGTTGTAACAGTGGTGCATGTCCTCGGCCAGGATGTCGTCCAGGGTGGCGTGTTCGTTGCCCATGTTGCACGAGGAAACTCTTTGTCCCACACCTGGTTCAGCTCGGTACTCTGAAGCACCAGCTAGGCACGTCACATGCCTCCTGTAGCCCGTGGCACTTTTAGCACTGCTGACCAGTCACACACTGATCACTACAGAGAACTCAAGAAAGGGTTTCTAAACCTCTTATGTGGGTGTGGTACTAACAAGGGTGATCACTTGAAATAACCTGTAATAGGATAATGGCAGCTTTGCACAGAGAGTATATTTAAGAAGAGTAGCTGGCACAGAAAAAGTGAATACTTAAGTAAGACGTCCTGACCTCACCTCCATGCTCAGAACCAGCTATGATTTGTCTTGGCAAAGAAGGTTTTTTTTTTTTTTTTTTTAAAAAAACATGCTAAATACTAAATTAATTAATTAATTAATTTAATTAAATGATTTACTACATTAAGTACATTTTGTATACCATTATGCATTATCAGCATATACAGTATAATAGAGATGGCATGATACCACTTTTTCTTTTCTGATAACAATAACAATATAATAGTTAATATTTTTAACCATTATGCTGGAAAAGAAGTGTTTTTTAATTAAAGTCATTTAAAATTACCATGCTGAAACAGCTTAAACCCTCTAGTACCCTACAGAAAGAAGTACACAGCAATCAGTATGACTTACACAAAACTGCAGCTTTTTTATTCACATACTTTAAAAAAACATTATCATAGTGCGAAAAAATTAAAATAAATGAACATATTTCCAGTGTACTATTACTAAATTGCTAACTACTTCTTGTTATGGCGACTGATTTTGATTCATTCAATGTAGAGGTATATTTTGGATGACAGAAATATTGTTAAATGTTTAAATACACAAAATCCTAGACAACACACAGATTGCATCACAGCAAACAGGTTCAAGATTGTGCTTGTATTAGTTTAAAGGTGAAAATCAACTTTAATGCACTTTAAAGCACGACTCACCCATCACTACTATAGCAGTTAATCCTTGGGACATGAGGACAACACATTTGTATATTTCACCCTAAGATGTCATAAAATTAAAAAAAAAAAGCTTTGTTTAAAAAAAAAATCTGTGAGTTTAATCTTTGATTTAAATTTGATTATGAAGATAACACCTGACTGTGTATCTGGCAACACACTATACACTTGTTCTAAATCCCAGTGTTTTGGAGTTTAAATAAAAAGCAGGTTCTTGTCAACACCCCTCCATCCATCCATCCTTTACTATAACATTAACTTTAGTGCAATGTATATACAAAATGCCAACAAATACTGTAATACTGAATCTGAAACAATTCCATCAGCACAAAAAAAAAAAAAAGATGTTAGCAAAATGTTAACAAAAACTGTACAAGAAAAAAAATGATTTTCTTTCCACTTTGTGATTAACTTGCACATTAACACAAAAAAATAACCAAATGCTTTAACTGGTGCTAAAGCTTTGTTGGAAGGTTTCAGGGCATTTTATTCACATTGTTATTGGGCCTCCGCTTCACCCTTGTGGTTCTCCCATGTGGCTAGAATTTAGTGAACTGTCCCTTGAGCGGAATTCCTATTTTCATTGCTTAGAGCATTTACATTCCTGTAATATGACAAAGAAAGACAACTTTTTAGATAAACATCCAAAAATTAATGAGCAGGGACTCCTATAAGGAATATGGCAAAGACTCACCTCCATCTTCCTCCTCTTTTTTCACTTCCTGTTCTATTTTTTCCTCCGTTGCTGTTGCCGGCTCGCTCAGTGCCTCCATGGCTGTCTCCTCATCAGGCTCTTGTTTTGTGGACTCTTCTTTACTGCTGTCTATCTCAGGTTGCTCAGACTTCTTCTCCTCTTCTACCGTCTCCTCCTTCTCAGCTGACACGACACACTCCCTGTTCTCTACTTCTCCTCCTGTTGAAGCTAAGGGCTGCTGTTCTGAATCCTCCGATGCTTCATGTTGCTCGTGATCTTCCTGTTGCTTGGACGTAGCAGATGCCGAATCGGTACCATCAATCTCCTCTTTCTCCACCTTCTGCTCCTCGAACACGTCGTTCTCCTTTACATCTGGAGTCGTCGGACTAGAGACAGGCGGGGTAGCCTTTTCCTCGTTAGGCCCATCTTCCTCCCCACTGGACTTCCTGAGTCGGCGAGATGGCGGACGGCGTTTGATAGAATGACGAGCACGACCCTGTGTGTGTGTGATCCAGAGCAACACATGTATTTTAAACCTCAGAATATAACATACACTCCCTATCAGTAACATCATTTTTAATTAAACACTGAGAGGTGGCCTTGAGTATTTTTTAACCTTGTTGATGCTTGGAAGGACAGTGCTTTCCGCAGGGGTCTCGAAGCTGGCTGGGGTCTCTAACTGGCTTGGTTTGGATAATGAGGTTGGGCTGACTGGGCTACAGGGTGAGTGAGGTGGGAAAAATGGCAGCTGCGGTTTCCCAGCTCCTGGACTCAATGGGGAAGGCAGGGTGGCCGTCGGTGAAAGAGATGCCTGTGAGAAACATAACACATAGAAAAATCAAATTTAAACAATTTTACCCAAAATGTATTCGATCAGATGAGACACGTTTAGTGTCTGATGTTCTCCTCTCGTGGGCTTCTAGGGTCTCTAGGGTCTCAGCTTGTAGCCTTTGATGTAGTCCTTGCATTGAGGTACACAGAATAAAGTACATAGAGTTCAGTGTTATGGGTCGAGCCACAGTGTCTAACCCGGGATCCTGTCAGGTTTGTCCGGGAGCTGGCAGATCTGGACCCCTTCCTGGACACTATCGAGGCTGAAGGCTCAGGTGTCAGTTCGTTCTTCTTCTAGAAGAGTCTCTTGGATGTGGCCACATGCACCATCCTCATGCTTCTTGGTTGAGCACCAAGAGGAGGGCTTGAACCTGCAGCTATCAGGAGGATGCCACTGAAGTGTGGCTTCGACCCTAAAATTAATGATTTCGATTATTTGGTTGGGTAAGAGTGGTCTCAGAACCAGGATCCGAGTGTGCCACTTGGCCTCGCTGAGCCAAATTTGATGCAGGGAGCCTCACAGTTGAGGACAGTATTTCTCAGATGGTTAATACCAAGGCACTAGACACACCGCCAGTGACTGTCGTTGCACTCCTGGGGTTTTGGGCATTGGTTGCTGGAGCCTAAGTCCATGGTGGTTTGGGTTGTCATTAGTTTTTGAGCTGGTATGCTGAAAGCGGCTCTACC